GGGCAAAGATCTGCCATATCTCGCCCAATTCTAAGCAGCCTCCATCCTGAGAAACTTGCATCCTTAGACTGAGGGGTGATATGTGCACCCCGCTGAAATCAACCAACATTTTCCCAGAGAGGATACCCCAAGTGCACGATAGCAGAGAGACAAATGTCCCACACCCACACTGGATCAAACACAGACTCATGTATTCAGAGGAGAAGACCTAGTGGCAGAAATTTTGGAGATTTTCCCAGAAAGATCAGTTTGAGCACCTTGAACCCTGGCAGTGAGGGCTGTGGAGGGAACACAGGGAGGTCGCCTGGGGCAGACTTCCAGAAAGAAGTGAAAAGCCAACTTGAGCTTGGACACGGAAACCATTACAGAACAACACAAGTGCATTTTAAGATGAGGCACTGATCCCTGCATTGTGTTGAGGCTGCTCTTTATGACCTCAGAGAACATTGTCCCCAGTTCACAAATACAGAACCCTAGTCGATCCACCTTCCACTGTGAGCCAAGGGCTAGGCAACAGATACAGTGGAACTTATCAAGAAGGAGGATGGTGGCAGTATTGGGTTGTTTGCTTGATTATCTCATTTTGTTTCTTTCTTTGTTGGTTGGATTTCTCTTTTCTTTCCTTCTATTTCTCTTTCTTTGTTCTTTATCTTTTATGTGAATATGAGGGTGTGTTTCTTTCTGTTTTATTTTTCTATTTATAATTATTTCTCCTCTTTTCCTTTATTCTATCTTTTTCTCTTATACCCTGTCTTGGATTCAGGGGCTAGGCAAGCAAACCTACTATAAAGTCATGTTTTGCAGAGATGAAGAGTGAGTCCCAAGTGGTCCATTAAGCAGATAGAAAACATTATCACTTGTCAACATGTTCTGAAAATTTGCAGATCCCCATCTGCTAGTAGTGCTCAAAATTGCAAGCACAACACCACACCCTCAGCCCTACTTCATAATTGAAAAAACCCAAAGCCAAGGCCAGCTCAAGGAAGAACAAATAGTGAGCAAACATTAAATGTGACTGCTTATCCATTTTACAATGAGCAATGGAATTAAAGAGAATGATAGAAGAAATGCTACAAATGAAGAAATACCAATTAAGATCTGCTACCCATCAGAACCCCAGTAAAGCATCAATGCTAAAAAGAACAGCTACTGGGGCACAAACAATGGCTACCTCTGAGAAAGTCATTGCCAAGAAGGTACTTATGGAGACCAGAGAATCATTGGATAGAGTAAATAAAAATCAATAAATACAGGTCTAAAACTAAATAAAATTGCAGCAGAGCTACACAAACTCAAGAAATATTGGACCTGCCAGGCTGGGTGGCTCAGCCTGTAATCCCACACTTTGGGAGGCCGAGGTGAGTGGATTGCCTGAGCTTGTGGGTTCGAGACCCACCTGAGCAACTTGGAGAGACCTCATCTCTACAATAAATCAAAATTAGCCGTGCCTGGTAGCGCACACCTGTAGTTCCAGCTACTTGGAAGGCTAACCAGAAGGATCACTGGAGCCCAGCAGGTAGAGGCTGTGGTGGCTGGGAGCGGACACTGCACACCAGTCTGTGTGACAGAGTGAGACTTCAACTCAAAAAAAGAGAAATATTGGACCTCGATCTTTAATATTCTCAGAGATAAACAAATTCAAGCAAGAATTTCCTACCAATACAGACTATGCGTCATCAGTGAGGGAGTATTCAAATCCTTCCCAGATATCCAATGCCTAAGAAAACATGCTGCCTTGAGATAAGTTCTACAAGATATGCTTAAAACTACACCAAAACTGGGTAAAGATCATTCAAAGAAAGAGAACTAGAGGTCGATATTCCTCATGAACATAGATGCAAAAATTCTCAACAAGATTCCAAAAAACAATGTCCAAGTACACAACTCAAAAATTTTCCATCATAAGCAAGGAGACTTCTTCCCCAGAATGTAGGACTGGAACAAATCCCGGAAAACCATAAATGTAATTAAATTCATCAACAGATTAAAAACAAGAAACACATAATTATATCATTAGATGATGAAAATGCTTTTGAATAAATTCAGCATCCCTTCTTGATAAAAACCCTTAAACACCTAAGGTTAGATGGAACATACCACAAAAGCATAAGAGCCATCTATGATAAACCAATAGCCAACATATTGCTAAATGACCAGAAATTGGAAGCACTTCTACTGGAAACTGGAACAAAAAAGGACTGCCCACTCTCATCCTTCCTGTTCAACACAGTGTTGGAAATCCTAGCTAAAGCAATCAGAGAAGAGAAGGAAATCAGGCACATCCACATAAGAAAAGCAGCAGTCAAGCTATCTCTCTTTGCTGATGATATGATCTTATACCTAGAAAATGTCAAAAACTTACATTAATAAAGGACTTTGGCAAAGTCACAGGGTATAAAATAAATGTACAAAAGGCAATCACTTTCATATACACCAACAACATACAGGCTGAGAATAAAATAAAAAGTACATACTTAAGTGTAGAGCTGGTCAAGAGTGCAGTGAAAAGACATGGTGAGGTTAACCATCAGGTATTCCTTATTCTCAAACAGTAAGATGTAAGTGCATCACAGTTCAAAGCCTTCAGGAAACAAATAGTAGAAGAGGAGGGCATCAATTTTTAGCAACTAATGCAGCCCAGGGCCACCAAAAGAGTCACCATCAAGCCCCCAATTATATCGTAGGACTTCTACTGAGTGATTTTGTTAACAATCAGCACACAAATAACTTACTTGAACATTACTAATCTCATCTCCTATAAAGATGAAATCCATCTACTTGCCTTTTGTAAAGAAACTGAAAGAGGTGGGCTCGGTGGCTTAGCCTGTAATCACATGCCTTGGGAGGCTGAAGTGAGTGGATTGCCTGAGCATGTGGGTTCGAGACCTACCTGGGCAACTTGGTGAGACCTCATCTCTACAATAAATCAAAAAATTAGCTGGGCATAGTAGTGCGCACCTGCAGTCCCAACTACTTGGAAGGCTGAGGTGGAAGGATCACCGGAGCCCAGCTGGTTGAGACTGCACTCCAATCTGCGACTGCACTCCAATCTGCACTCCAATCTGCACTCCAATCTGGGCGACAGAGTGAGACTCCAACTCAAAAAACAAACAAAAAAGAAACTGAAAGAATGGAATATGATGTATTTTTCTCCTCTGCCCTTTCCTTTAAAATAAGTCTGATATTACTGAGAGAAGACAGTGGAGGTGGGTCTACACAGAACTTCGTGCCTTCTTTTCACTCCAGTCTCATGAACTCCTTCCTTGCCTGTAACACCGTGGATTTGATGGATTAATTTTCAGATTAATTCTATGGAGATTTGGTGGTGACAGTGAAGGTGAGTTTGGATCATTTTCAACTACCGTTGCTGTTCCTCTTTTGCATGGAGAAACATATCAGAGGTAAATGTTTGAGCTTTTATGATGTGTCTCCAGTCCTGGAAAAAAAGGCTTCAATGACAATAGAAATGCCCCAACTACATGTCCTTTGAGAGTTTCAACTCTAACACTATATCACACTCCACTTTAAGGAAAGTAACTCATGTCTCTAATGTAAACATTTACTAGCTCACATGGTATGTAGTGGCCTCTGTCTCAGTTACAGTCTTAATGTGCTCCTGTTTTTCCTCCAAGTCCTTGCCTCTCTTCCCATATTAGAACTTTTGTTTTTTCTATAACCTCAATTATTTAATGTAATGATGTAAATTTGTTAACTTTAAGATTTTTCAAGTTAAATGTTGTGTAGAAAACCACCGAAATATTTTTAGATTTCTACAACTCCAAACATAGTAATAGATTCATTTGAATACTCAGAAGCTGGAAACAAGGTAAATATTGAGAAATTTTTAAATAAATAGTGATATATTTACTCATTTTTATTCTATCTCTTTCGATAATCAATAGATTCTTTCTATGTAGTGATGTGGTTGATTTATTCATAATTATGTTGCTTGAGAAGCCACACAAATAAAACATGTACTATATATCCCACTGTTATAAATTCTGGAAAATAAAATTAATGTAAAGTAAAAATGATAAGAGACTGACTCAGGATATGGTGGGAGTAGGGCATGACTGGGAGGTAGGAATTAAAAGGAGCAAGAGGAAATATTAAGGGTGATTAGCTTATTCATTATAATTGTTAAGATGGAAGCCGGAGTGAGCACTTAGATCAGTACTTATCAAACTGCACTTTAATAATTACATGATGTTTATTATATACCAAAAATGTCTCATTAAAACTATTAAAAATAAACAAATAATCTACTTAAAATAACTTATGGATAAAAAAGAATAATATGAAAATACCTGAGATCCAAAAACTACAACTACAACACCACCTTCTCTTCACATTGTTAAGGTAAGCACAAGAGTGCACAAAAATCATCACAAGTACACATTAAAAAGGGGGGATTCTGCAAAACTCATTAGGCTTATACCACTTGTACTGAGCTTGGTTCAGAGAGCAGATGGGCACAGGGGTGAGGATTACAGGCCCAGGTACCCAGGCTCATCCATAAAAGGTTTGAGCCCTGTGCTTCTGCTTGTAATTTCACACCTGTAAAATGGATTTATCATTGATGCTATATGCCATGCTTTTCCTGCATATGTGAAATGAAAAGAATTGTTTCTAAGTTTACAATAATTATGTGAGTGTATTGTTTTAGCTTTATTGTACTTCAATAAAAGTGTTTGAATTAAATATTTAAAAATAAGTACTGTGTATTTATGGCAGCATGACAAAATCATAAGACATTACATTTTTCATATGGTATCTTTTTCACCAAAAGCACTCAGGAAACTCATCTGCTCTGGGTCCCTCCCTCTCTCAAACATCCCACCTAAAGTTTGTTAATATAGAAGGAGACATGCAAATAGTGCCCTGTCTTTGCTTATGAAAACCAGCCTAGCCTTGACGCTGCAGGTTTTGGAGAGAAGCCTCAGCACTGGGATTCCCAGGTGTTCCCATTTGGTGATCAGGACCGAAAAAGACAACTCACTATGGAGTATTGGCCCTGCTGGCTTTTCCTGGCTGCTGTTTTCAAAGGTGATTCATGGCAAACTAGAGATATTAAGTGTGTGAGTGGATGTGAGTGACAGAAACAGTGAACATATGTGGCAGTTTCTGACCAGGACATTTCTGTAATTGCAGGTGTCCAGTGTAAGGTGCAGTTGGTGGAGTCTGGTGGAGGCTTGGTTCAGCCTGGAGGGTCCCTGAAACTCACGTGTGTTGCCTCTGGGTTCACATTCAGAGACTACCATATGGTCTGGGTTCGCCAGGCTCCAGGAAAGGGACTGGAGTGGGTTGGTGTTGTTAGAAACAAAGCTAATGGTTACAGCACGGAGTATGCTGCATCTGTGAAAGGCAGATTCACAATCTCAACGGACGATTCTAAGAATTCAGTGTATCTGCAAATGAACAGCCTGAAAACTGAGGACACAGCTGTATATTACTGCGCTACAGACACAGTGAGGGAACACCAGTATGAACCCAGACAAAAACCTCCCTTCAGGGGCTGCACAACCACAAGAGATTTCAGGACCTCCAGGCACTAGGTCTCTCAGGAGCAGGTGCAGAAATTTGTTGAGGGCTGGTTACCTGCCAAGTCTTGAACTACCTCTCCATCTGTTCCCGTGGGAATCCGTATAGATTTGCAATTCTGTAGTAACATTTGAAACCTCAAAATATACAATTGTTTTGCATGTTTCTTGATTTTGCAGGACACATTTTCACCTGCACCAAAGTTAGACTGTGGCTTTAGACGAGAGTACACCTTTTCATGGTAGCCAGGATCAGAGTCCTATGAGAGCCCTAGCAATCTGGATAGTGTTCAAAGAAACTCAAGAATGGATCCTCAGAGATATCTTGACTGAAAAATACTTTAGGCATCAGAATAAAGTACATGGGGAAGCTGGACAATGACCAGAGTTCTTAAAAAACTAACTGGTGTTACATCCATTCTCCTCCTCTTGTAATCCTGTACAAATGACTCAGAATGATCCAGTTTTCCCTTGCTAATCCATTTTCCTTCTTTCTTTCCAGCCCTATTCCTCACACCTCCCTTTTCTCCTTTTTGTTTCTATGAAAAAGGTGATGTGTTTCTGTCATCTAAATACCAGAACTGAGAGTCTTTGCCTTGGAACTCAGGAGTGTCTCAAGCTCTGGTTCCTGCAGCACCTGAGACAGTTTATGGGACTTTCTCACTTACCATTTCCAGTCTCTCCTTCTGTCATTCATGCATGAACTGATTTGTGGAATTCAAGTGAACATTAGTCACTGAGGTAATAAGAGTATCTTCTTTAATGTGGAGTATTAATATAGAACTAACGCCATGTTTCTCACACCGTCATGACCCAGCCATCTTTACCCTTGACTTTGGGACTAGCTGAGGATGGATCCTCCATTTGGCTATGGGTTTCAGGTAACAATGATATGGGGTCTGGTTAGGCATGTTTAGATACATAGGGTCTGCTATCAGGAAGGACAAGTTGAACTTCCTGGGAGGATCTGGAAAGGCCACACAACATGGAGTTTGATCATCTTCCTTCTTTCAGGGGTTGACTAAGACTCATTGAAATTACCTAAGACAATCCTCCTGACTTAGAGAACACTGGTGGCTACCTTTAATAACATTAAATAATCAAGATTAAAGAAACAAATAGGCTAGTTTTATTTGAATAATTGAAATATACCCTTGCCAATTTGACACATAGCAACTGATTACCTCTACGGTTACTTTATATTCTACACTAGAATCTGGCCAGTATGTAATTTTGCTAAAATAATTGGTAGTATTTGTTTTCTTAGAAGTTAACTTTAAAACTGTCCTACGTTTGTGTGCACCTTTTAAGAAATATAATCATTCTTTTGAGAGGAAATGCATGGTGAGTAAAATGAGCTTGAGAAAATTATTAGCATGTGATGCTCCTGAGTGAAGGAGATAGGGAAGGAAGATTGCGTGGAGAAATGTTTGATGTCCAAAAAGGTCCAGAATGTCACTGAATTATCCTCATGTCAACATGTCAACTCAGGGGATCCCATGGCTCACGGCTGTGCTCACCAGAGAGCTCATTTGTCTCCTAAGAGTGGGCCATGGAACGTGGGGCTTCAGCATGAGCCACACCATGGACCTCATAGACCACAGCCAGCACCTGGTCCAGGTGCATTGTGCTCCCATAGGTGAAAGAATAGAGGTCCTGTCTCAGTGCTCACATGCTGGGGGTTTCTATAAAGAACACACAATTTCACTTTATTTTCTTTGAAGACATATTAGGTTAACTTGGAGTTAGTAAAGGATTGTATTATTTAGATTTACTCAAGTTGCATAATTCCTTCATTCTGCACAATTTTGTGGCACAGAGCTGTCTTGCTCATTAGGAATTGTTAAATGGATTGCAAAATGTTAAATGGATTGAGGGCATGCATGTTTTTGCTTTTTTAGTTGTTCCCCTATGTACAGAAATTGTGAGTGTAGTGCACCTGTCCCTTATTCACTCTTGGCTCACCAGATAGAGCAGAAATTTGCTCAACTCAGAGTCTGGGGAAGAAGCTGTCCCTGTTCCCATAAGAGACTACAGGGACCCCAGTAGATTTCTATAGAGTCAAAGTGTTTTCATATGGGGGGAGCATCCAGCTGTCTCATAGCAGTATCAGTTGCTAAGGTGTAATTTTGGCTTCAGAATTACAGAATTAGTTCACTATGGTTCTGTTCCATTATGCAACTCACCATTAACAGAAACGGAGGTTATAATTCAATCTGAATTTTCTTGACATCATTTTCTCATCTTACTCTGTCATCATTTTGATTAGAAAATATGATTTTTCTTTTTGTTTTCCAAATATCACCTAAGAAATTGATGAATTTATTAGGAAACAGGAAATACTGGAACTGTTCGGGAACATATAAAATAACATTCATGTAGAATAATTTTGTGAAAATATACATCAGCAAGGTACAATTCTGGGAACAAAATTTCTGGATCATGTAGTCAAAATAGCATTAGACTTCCCTAAAGTTGCTTCCAGTAGTATTTGTGAAGAAAGGACACTCGACTGACCCTGTCACCTGTTAGGAGGAAACGCTGTGCCCAAGGTGATGTCACATATGTGAGATCCAAGACCCAGCTCTCAGCCCTGGCTGAATTTCCATCCAGGGGCCAGGCCAGCAGTCAGGAACAATACAAAGCACCTCAGAAGTGCAGACCCAAGACCTCCTGTATTTGGCCTCCAGGAGGTCCACCAAGTCACCAGTAGATCCTCAGATCTCACCCAACACAATGACCCACCGAAGAGCAAATGACAGAGTGACCAGCAAGGAAGTTTTTTTTTTCTTTTACTTAACAATATCTAACCCTCAGGTGACCATCAATTACACCGTTTGTAATCTTTGCCCTGATTTACCCAAAACAAAACTAAAATGAACATGAATGATGAATTAACACCTAAGCCTAAGCCTGAGTATTTTCCTGAAATTTCCATCAATATCATCATTATGTAAATATCAACATGCATATGAAGTCATCAAGAATTAAGTTTTTCTTGGGAAATGGGGCAAGACAATACCGAAACTGGTCAGATTGTGAGTCTCTGCACAGGTGAGTATGAATAAAGACTAATCAGCATTTGTGAAAGTGGGAGAGAGAATATCCAACTGCAAGAAGACATGGAATCAAGTGCCCAAAACCCCACTGCAGAAGCAGCCGAAATTTGCCACTGCTTTGAATTTGACACCCACCATGCACAGAAGGACCTTCCCTTCCTGAAGCATCCATCATGAAAATACAGCAGAGATTCGCAGATTTTTGACACTGGAAACCTGGCTCAAACCACCACCTATGGCCATGGCCAATCACAGATAACAGGGACAGCAGAGACGATACAGGCAGGAGATCTGAAGCTGAATCTACCAGAGGATAATATGCTGGTGGTCACCACTTTGAAGCCATTTTATCTGTCCCAAGATCAGCAGGTTTCTTCCTTAGCTCCATCGATTTGGGGAAGCCTACATCCAGTGAGCTCCACAACTCTCTGTGATCACTATAATTTGCCAGAGAGGATACTCTCAGTGCACAATATTGCAGACACAGAACCCCCACCACCACACTGGATCAAGCATTGACACCTGTAGTTGGAGTGGGAGTCTTGGCAGCAGCTGAGTTGACCTGAATACTGGAGTCACCACTCTTCCCCCAGCAGTCTTTGGGGCAAAAGCCTGTAGACTGAGAGTAGAGGGAAGGGGCTGGAGACCAGAACCCACTCCTTACCACTGCCAAAAAAAGGGGAATTTGAATTTCTAAAAAAGGTCAGAAAAGGAAGAAAAATTTTCTATATTTTTTATTTTTATGTTTTACATTTTTCTCCACAAATAGTTTTCTGGAAGAGAGTTCTGATTTGATCTGTCCTTATTTATCCTTCTTTTTATTGCATATGGGTATATTTTGGGGTGAATGCATCTTTGGTTTTTTGTTGTTCTTGTTTATTTGTACTTGTTTTGTTGTTTTCTTTAATTGTTCTTTTGTGTGCCTATCTGTTTCCCTTCTTCAGCTTCTTTCTCTTCCTCTTGTCTCTTCTATCTTCTACTATTCTCCATTATTTTCCTTTTTCTTGACTCATTGTGTTTTCAGGGTCATACATATTCTCTGCATCACATGGACAGAATTAAGATAGTAGAAAGTTGTTTTCAGGGAGTCAACACACCAGTCAGTGAGTACTGGATTCTGCACATAACAACTGAACCACAGCTTGCCTATCAAATCTTAATTAAATATCAAAGATAGTAATCAAAGATAGACCCCCGCTTCCAGTCCAGGTACAAAATTGAACACATCAAGAGGATCTACATATGAAATCATAAGGATTTCATCAAACACAAGTGAAAGCTATCCCCTCATCAGCGAGCAATGTAATTAAGTGGAGGAGAAGGAAAACCATCACAAATAGGGAAGAACCAAAGGAAAAGCACAGGTACCAACTATAATCCTGTGAAGACAGCACCTGGGAATACAAACATCAGAACTCAAACAATGAAGAGCCCTTAGAATGACTGGTCTCAAACCACAAACCCAGAAGTCACGATATTAATAGAGAGAATTAATGAATATGACGATAAATAACAGAAAAGAATGAAGGTGTTTATAACTGAGATGATGGCAATAAATAATAGAGTAAATGAAATAAAGAACAAAGTGACAAGCATGGAATGCAGAATTAACCAAGTGAAAGAAAGAATCACTGACTTTGAGGACCAAAATATGTCTCTAGCAAACACCATTAAAAACATAGAAAATAAGCTTAATAATAAAGAACAAATCTTCTGAGAGAGGTATGATTATATCAAGAGGTCCAATGTATGCAGAATTGACATTCCTGAGGCAAATAGAAAGAAATCTCACTGGAATAAACATTTCATAAAACTGTCCAAGAAAACTTTCTTCATTTCCTCAGTGATGTGACCATTCAAACACAAGAGATTCAAAGAACCCCTGCAAGATATATTATCAAAAGACCAACTCCTAGATACACCAATAATTTACTTTCAAAAAGTAGATATAAAAGA